ATTGAACCTTCAGCTTGCCACAGAACTGCCCCTTGTCCACCCCCTTGTTTCAGTGTCTCACCCCCCGGACCGTTGCTAAGCCATCAGGTGGTACAGAGATTGACCCAGCTCAGGAGGTAGGCTCTGATTAGGCTAAGCCAATCATAATAATTCCATCAGCCTTGCCCCAGACCCAGGTCAGTCAGCACATGGCTTTCCTTTAGCTGTAGGGATCGGCACAAGAATGGACATAGGATCCAACTGAGGCCAATAAGAGATAAGGGGAGATCTGCAAGGGGCTTCTGGGAAAGTTTAGAGACACGGGAATGGATGAGCTTTGCCTCCTCTGGACACAAGGGGCTCTGAGGATTGGGTGACACACCAGAAGAGGACAGCGCTGAGAAAACTGGAGAGAAATGCAGCTGGAACCAAGCCGGAGTATTGGATTTTGCCAGCCCTGAGGCCCTCCCCACTTCTGGATCCACTTAGGATTCCCAGCATCTTCTCTCTGGGTTTTCTGGCTCTTGCATCCTATATCCTTACACCTGCTTGAGATGCTTTACTTCCCCATTCTTCCCCAGCCAAGGTCCATCATAGGTCTGAGCCCCTTCCAAATCTCTCGCTTGGCAATCTCCACCTCTCATCTGTTCCCCTAGCTGTACTGACTTTGTGCTTCTCGGCGTATACCACGTTCTCCTGTACCTCTGTGCCTCTCCACAGGGCTCCCTGTTCCTTCTGCCTGGTCAGCCCTTCCCTTCTTCATACAGCCAACTGCTGCCCATCTTTAAAGGTCCTCTTAAGCATTATCTCTCTGGCATCCTCCTGGACCCTTCCTTCTCTCTGGGAATATAACCCACCTCCCATTCTAGATCCTAAGCTCCTTGAGTGAGGGGACCACATCTCATTTGTCTTTGGAGCCGCAGGGTCCAGCAGGTGCCTAGCAGAGAAGAAATGCTCAGTGTCTGTTGGAAAGGATGGATTTTTTTTTTTTAAAGACTATTTTTAACCAACACGGGGCTTGAACTCTCAACCCTGAAATCAAGAGTCATGTACTCCACCAACTGAGCCAGCTACACGCCCCAAAGGATGGGTCTTTCTCTTCTTTTTTTAAGATTTTATTTATTTGAGAGAGAGAGAGCATGAGCAGGGGGAGGGGGAGAGGGAGAAGCAGATTTCCCACCGAGTGGGGAGCCCGATGTGGGGGCCCGATACGGGGCTCCATCCCAGGACCCAGGATAATGACCTGAGCCGAAGTTAAGACACTTAACAGACTGAGCCACGCAGGCGCCCCAACAATGGATCTTTTTTTTTTTTTTTAAGATTTTATTTATTTATTCATGAGAGACACAGAGAGAGAGAGAGAGTGAGAGAGAGGCAGAGGGAGAAGCAGGCTCCCAAGGAGCAGGGAGCCCGATGCGGGACTCGATCCCAGGACTCTGGGATCATGACCTGAGCCGAAGGCAGACTCTTAACCATCTGAGCCACCCAGGCGCCCAACGATGGATCTTTTTAACCAGTGTGAATCCCAATGTAGGCAGGGCCTGGAGCTCGCTAGAGATTTTCCTCCTCATCCAGAAGGAGGCAATGCGCTAGGAGGCGTGCTGTATTTCTTGCCAATTTAAGCTGTATGTACTCTCTAACACAAAATGAGACTTTTGACCTAGGGGAGTGGCTCTTAAGGGTGGAATTTCAGAGGATGGGGAGAGGGAGGCTTTTTCTGGGTGGGACTGCTACCAGCCACTCTTCTGCGTATGAGTCATGCCCTCCCTTGCTCACCTGCTTGGATAGCGGTGGCTGCCTGGCGCCCCTGCCCCCCCTCCCCCTTACTTGATACTCGGTGAGGTAGTCTTGTTCCATGAAGGCCAGCTCGTCCTTGAGCCTCTTCAGTTTCCCCATCTCACGAGCAAAGTCCTTCTTGTCCCGTTTCCACATGGCATCCTTCAAGAACCTGACGCCAAGGTGGGGGTATGTCACCCGTCAGTGACAGAGCCTCACCCTGGGCTGGGAAGACCGGCTGCTGCTGAGGGCCCGGATGAGGGTAGGAGGAGCCACCAGAGACGCCATTCCCCACTGCCCAAGGCCCCTCCCACTACCCTTGAGGTGAGAGAAGAAAGTGATAGTCTGATCAGCACCCCCTGCTGAGGATCCAAGGCCTCAGGGCAAGGAAGGGCAGTGCTATACCCACAGGGGTGAGGCCCTGTGGAAAGCCCTGGGAATAATATCCTGGGGGGCCGGGGGTCTCTTCTGCAGACTTATCTCCCAGCCCAGACCCTCCTGGTAAAGGCTCAGCCTCAGGTGAGGGCCCCAAGGAAAGGGCTGGGAGGGAGGGAAGGGGTGGCAGGCTGTGGGTGGTTCTCACACCCTCACCGGGCACAGTCGCGGTGGTTCCGTATTTTGCAGTAGTCGATGGGCTTGCAGCCCATGGCATCTCGGGCGTGGACATTGGCGCCATTTTGCACCAGCACCTTCACGCAGCTCAGCAGGCCCTTGCAGGCTGCCAGGTGGAGGGGTGTGGAGCCATTGCATGTCTGACTGTAGAGGGCCCCGCCAGCCGGGAAGAGGGCAGAAAGGATGGCCATTTGCCCATCAGAGAGGTGGGCAAACCAGGTTCCGGACCTGCTCTGCCACTAGCCCACTGGGTGACTCTGGTATGTCCCTTCTCCTCTCCGAGCTTCAATTTCCTCAACCATAGAAGGAGGGTTTGGACTAAATGAATGGTGGGAGCCTGACTATATGGGTGTGCCACAGTAAAGATCTGCTGGAAGAAGAGCTGGGTTGGCTGGAGCTCAGAGGGCACTAACCTTATTGGCTCTTAAGCCAGCCAGCCCTCCTGCCCCCTCCCCTGCCTGGCCGTGGCGCACAAGGCCCGCGGGACCTGGGCCCTGCCCCTTCCCCACCCTCATCTTCCGACTTTGCCCCACTCCTTCCCAACTTGTGATCTTTGCACACGATGTTCCCTCTGCCTGGGACTCTTTTCCCCGGCTCTTTTCATGGCTGCCTTGCTCTCAGTTTTCGGGCTGCAATCTAAATGTTATTTCCTTAGAGGTGACTTCCCCTTCCAAAATAGATCCTCTGCCCTACCCCTTTTACTCATCACCTCATTGCCCTGTTTATTTCCTTTGAAACTACTTACTACACGGTCGTTTCGTTCATTTATTGGTTTGCTAGTTCACTGTCTGCTCCTGCACTAGTTTATCAGCTTCATGAGGGCTGGGACAATTTCCCTGTCTTCACTGCTGTATTCGACTCAGGCTTGGCGCCGAGCACACAGGGCTCTGTAAATATGAGCGAGTGCAGTCTCCCATAGGCCGTCGGGGCATTTCCATGCGTTTACTCCGTTACCACAATAGTCTCATGTCATCCTCCCACATTTCAGTTGAAGACACTCAGGAAATAATTCCCAAAATTTGCTGCAAATTAGAAACACCTTGGAATCTTTTAGGCCTTCTAAAGCTCAGAGGGCACCCCATACCAATTTCAGCCTTTGACTGGAACACAGGCACTGGTATTTCTGAAGCTACATACGGGACTCCAGTGTACTGACAAGCTTGGTAACCAGAGCACTGAGGCTAAGGGCTGAGTAACTTGTTGGAGGTCTTGCTGTTTGCTAGCAGATGGCAAAGCTGGGATGTGAACTAGGTCTGTCCTCTCCCAGAGCCTGATCTCCTTACTACACCATGTGGGCTCACTGACTGCTTTATGTGGGACCCAATCCTTGTCACCCTACAGCCCTCTGCCTGTCCTGCATGGATCTGTCTACTTGGAAGTGGGGTTCCTATCTGCCCAGGTTCCAAGACACTTTCTGGACACAGGCTGGACTCACGTGTTGAGGGCCGCCCCTTGCTTAAGTAGATAGTGAATGCAGGGGAGGGTCATGGTCTTGTTGTCCCCGTGGATGACCAGGTGCAGGGGTGTCTGGCCATTGTTGGTGGGCAGGTCCACGGGAAACTTGTACTCCTCTACCAAGACCTGCAGGCACGTAAGCTTGCCACTCTGGGCTGCAAAGTGGATGGCGGTGAAGCCCTGTGGGGGCGGGAGGAGGGTAGGAGGAGACTGAGCAGGATTGGGGCCCCAGGGTCCCCAACCTAACCTACAGAGCAGAGTCTGCTCCTAGAAGGTGACTATCTACACAGAAAAGCATATCTGTGGATGTTCCATAGGCAGATCTTGTCCAGAGAACCACTATGTGAGGAACTTTCTGTGCATACAGAGGACTTCATTTCTTGCCCCCAAGCTCCAAGGCCTTACCTTGTCATCTGCCGGAATTTTGTCACGGTCCCGACTCAGACAGAAACGCAGCCATTCCAGGTTGCCCAGTGCGGCCGCGAACAGCTCGTAGTAGCTCCCAATGGCACTCTGGTCCCACTCATCGTCGGGGTTAGCGTGGGTCGGGAGTGGGCAGGTGAGCAAGAAAGTGGAGTCTGGGTCTGGGCCGTTGGCCCTGCAGAGGGGCGTGCGTGAGGGCGAGGGCTGTCACTGAGCACCAAGGCGCTTCGGGAGGCCAGGCCGGGGCTCGCTGGTCGGCAGGGCAATGAGGAAGCCACCGTCCCCGGACACCTCTCCGGAAGCGAGCCAGCACCCCAGCCCGGTTCTCCCGGCTCCTCGCGCCGCCCAAGGGCTCCCGCCCGCTCCCGGCCCTGCCCCTCCAGGGAGGCCCCCCGCAGCCCGGCCACCTCATCCCCGGCCCACCTGGCCTGCTGGGACGCCGCTTCACCCCAGGTGACCTTGTAGGAGGCTTTCTCCGCCGGCTGCATGGCGACACTTGTGTGCGGGGGCTGCTCCCCCACCCTCCCCAGGCCCTGCCCGCCGGCGGACGCTCGAACTGGGGCTGCGGCCAGGGCAGCTCCTCCGCGGGCCGCGCCACTTCCCCGGCTTAGTAACCGGCCGCCCCAGTCTCCAGGGGCCGGCCTGGCGCCTCCCGGAGATCCTGCCGCCGCTAACCCCGCCGTCACCCGGTGAGCCTTGGCCCCCTCGGCCTGTAAACGGCATCGGCCACACACACAAACTGCAAGACACTTGGGTTTTGTTTCTGATGATAAAATTATTAAGTGCTGATTGTTAAAACAGAGAAAGGGACGAGGAAATTAAAAATCACAATTCCACCAACCGCAGAAATCACGGTCCATTACGATATGTATATACATATCCTACATTTTTTCTACTCCTTTTCATTTAGCGTTTTATTATGAACTAGCATCCATTGTCATGCCATATACTAAACGTACGTTATGACGCCACTGTAGCCCAGCGTCATAATGAACATACACTATCATTTGACATGTGCGGCAGAAAACAAAATGATTCATCTTGGCCGTTTTCTTAGGATGGATTTCCTGGAAGTAGAATTACTAAGTGAAAGGGAACGAACATTTTTTAATTGTTAGTATGTGTTTACAAACTGCCCACCAGCAAGGTTTTATATTCATTACACTTCTACCTGCAGTGAAGCAGGTACCCTGCACATCAGCCGTGGGACTTTGGGCGAGTTCCTTGACCTCTGTGTCTTAGTTTCTGCATTAGCAAACTGGGAATAATACCACCTACTTCACAAGGAGGGAGGGGATTGCAGCAGTAAGACCAGGCCAGCTATCTAGAATTTTCTATTGTTAAAAGAGGACCTACTGGAACCATCACCACCAGCGCTGAATATTGTGATTTTAAATAAACATTTGCTAATAATTTGGTAGTGGAAATGTTCTAATTTGACTCCTTGATGACTACCAAAAGTTAAACAATTAAATATCAGTGTTTTTCTCTTCTGGGAATTATCTGTTTCTTCACATTGTTCTTTGAGGGTCTTCAAAGTGTTTCTTATTGGATTTGTAAAACTTATTAACAGTAACCCTTTACATATATTTGTCATCAATGTTTTCCTTTTAAATTTTTACAATATATGGTAGTCAAGCAATCAATGTGGGCTGATTCAGTGTTGAGTGAACCATCCACATTCCATCCCTTCTCAGGGGGAATGACCCCAAGCTTATCAGAGGTTTACTGAGGCCCCAGGGGTCAACTCTAGGTATAGACCACACCACTCACTTCTAACTACCTTCTCCCCTCTGGGCCCCATCATTCCTGGTATTTCCCCCAGAGAAATCTAAGGAGGGGGGAGAGTCTCCCAAGACCACAGTGACCCACGGGGAGGGACAAAAATGCAGATTCTCCACCCAAAGCAGTTCTCCTTCATTCCAGGGAAACCTCCTCTGGTAGTCCACTCACCTCCCAACCGCAGGGGTCTGAAGGAGTCAGCACCCCTCCTGAGCACTTTAAAAACTAGCAAATTCTGGGTATCTGTCCCAAGTGGGGCCTTAACACCTGGCTTCAAATTAAGATAAAGTGATAATGCTTTGCAGGGACAAAGCTTGAGGATTTCCTGGCAGTTGGGGGATTCTGTGGGCTGTTGCTTCTGAGGTATTAGGGTCCTAAGAATGACAACAAAACCCTACGTGTATGTTGGGGTTGGAGTGTCTCAGGACCTCTTCAAGTGCACCCTCATTATCTTTACCTGGGTTATCTTGCAGCCTCTAAACTAGGGGTTGCAACTCCAGCTGTCCCTGGGGAAAAAATACCAATGCAGAGGAATTCGCCTCCAACTTCAGATTAATTGATCTGGTTTGGAGCCTGGGCCTTGGTATTTTGTAAAGTTCGCTAGGTGATTCTCATGTGCTTAATACAGGCGTAACAACCTTTTGTTCTTTCCCAGTGCGGGAATCCAGGGAGAGGGATGAAGCGTGGGAGCCCCATCCCCACCCCGCCTCCCGCCTCGAGGCGGGGTGGGGGGGGGTTGGGGTGGGTAGCTGACAGTGGGCCCTCAAGCGGTTGGTTCAGGTGTGTGGGACCTTGGAAAACACGGAGGCATGTGTAGAACCGGGGTAGAACAGGGGCTTCCGGGACGAGCTCCGGGGTCCGGCTGTGGGCGGGGCTAGAGCGCAGTGTCGGCCGCGGGGTCCTGCGGCGCCCCCTCGCGGGAGTAGAACTCATCGAGCACGCTGTGCGGGATGCGCTTCAGCATCTCCTTGGGGAAGATGCGCAACAGCTTCCAGCCCAGGTCCAAAGACTCGAACACGGAGCGGTTCTCGTAGGGGCCTAGGGACGGGGCAGGAGTGTTAGGAGCGTGTGCACGTATATGTGGCCGGGTAAGGGGGTTACTGCCTGAGCGCCCCCAGCGCGCCTCACCCTGGTTGATGAAGTTCCTCTCGAACTTCTGCAGAAATTCCAGATAGAGCAGGTCCTCCGAAGTGAGCGCCTCCTCCCCCACCACTGCTTTCATGGCCTGCACGTCCTTCCCGATTGCGTAGCAAGCATACTGGGTGAAGGGGGGACGGTCCTAGCGGTCACCGCAGGCGGATCACAGGAGCTCAGTGGCCCCCAATTTGACTGTGTGGGGACCCCAAAAGGGGAGGGATTTCCCAGAGAAAAGCTCGTGGTCCAGGTAGGGCTCAAACCTCTAGCTTCTGAAATTAGCTTACCCGCCAGTCCCTGGGCTCTCTCCTTACCAGTTGGTTGGAGACGTCTCCATGGTCCTTTCTTGTCATGCCCTCCCCAATGGCAGACTTCATCAGCCGCGACAGGGAAGGGAGCACATTGATGGGGGGGTAGATCTGGGCAAGCAGAAGAAGGGAGTGGCAGAAGGCAGGGTCCAGACTTGACTTTCTTTCCTCCCCCTACTTGTCTCTCCTCCCCCTGGGGTTCTCAAGAGACTGCTCCTCACTCCTCCCACAGAGAGGTGGGCTGGTCATGCCCTGCCCTCCTTTATCGCCCACAAATTCTAGAGCTCGGGTATGGAGGTGTCTACATGTGTGCTCCTAGACAGGAGGAGGGAGGGGGGGACATGACGTGACATTAGGTAATGAAAGTCACTATTTTAAAACCTTTAATTATTTGGCCAGAAACCAGGTTGAAGCTTAATAGTTAATAGCTGTAAAGAAGGAACCTACTGAGCAAAGAGGTAAAAGTCACAGGATTGCCTTTGACCTCAGATGGGACAGACACATTTTCTAACCTGTTGGCACATTATTCACCACCTACTTGTGTCAGTTACCCACTGTTTTGTTCACCAGAGCAAATTACTGGAAAGCAAAGGGAAGTGGTATTTATTATCTACTGTCTGCTGGATGCTCTCTATGTGCCAAATGATTGTATCCTCCACAATGCACTCCACTGAGTGATAAATACTATTCTGTTTTATAGATGAGGAAACCTAGCATCAGAAGGATGAGATGATTTTCACAAGGTTCCCACAGTCAGGTGGTCTGGATTCTAGCCAGACCTGTCCTGTGTCTGTGACCACACAGTCTTCCTGGGTCGTCTCCTCTTTGGAGTTAGCCTCGCCCGGCCCCTCCTAATTCACAGAGAACTGAAGCACAGCAGGTGAAGGGACATCTGTTAGTGTCTCTGGGGGTGATGAGGAGAGCACTAAGTCGTAGGGAGGGGACCGTACTTGTCTGTTATGAAGCTGTCTGTCCACGTAGATCTGTCCCTCTGTGATGAAGCCCGTCAGGTCTGGGATTGGGTGGGTGATATCTGCAAGGAAATGCACTGGTGTCAGTGTAGACGGAGCCCACGTCTCCACCCGCTCAGGGCCGCCTGGGCTCTATGGCTCTCATGGGAGTGATGGGGTATGTGGAGGCAAGGAAAAAACAGTGAATCCCGTGATGAAGAAACAGAGCTACGGCACATCTATGCACAAAACCATGGGCCCTTTAAGCATCCCGGTGGGAAGGGAGGGCAGGGGGTAGCAGAGGGTAGTGGGCAGCGAAGAGACCCACCGTCATTGGGCATGGTGAGGAGGGGGATCTGAGTGATGGACCCTCCCCGGCCCTCCACGCGGCCTGCCCGCTCATAGATGGTGGCCAGGTCTGTGTACATGTATCCTGGGAAGCCTCGACGGCCCGGCACCTCCTCTCTGGCGGCTGAGACCTGCAATGGCGGTGTCGCTGGGGTAAGAAGTGGGGCAAGAGGCTGAGCGCGAGGTTCGGTGACTGAGAAATGGAGTGAGTGGCGGCAGGCTTGGATGGGTGAGTTTCGGGGTGGAAAGACTACAGAGAGGCTGGCATGACCCCGACACCCTTCATCAGCTGCCTCACCTCCCGCAAGGCCTCTGCGTAGGAACTCATGTCGGTCAGTATGACCAGCACGTGCTTCTCACACTGGTAGGCGAGAAATTCAGCAGTGGTCAGTGCCAGGCGCGGGGTGATGATCCGCTCGATCCTGGAGGGACAGCCTGTGTTTAGAGAGCCCAGAGGCCTAGGCCTGTGCTCTGTTCTAGCCCCAAATGCTGAGTGGATAGTGAACTGCGCATAGCAGCAGGGGGGGTGGGTGGGATGAGCCCCAGCTCCCAGGCCCCCTGACGGCTGTGGTTCCTGCGGGTGGGCAGTTCACCACGTCTGACACTCCTCCCTCCTGCTGCCCTTCTCTTCCCCAGCTTCCTCCTCGCCACACTCGGCTGAGGTAGAGCACTCTGGATGCCTTCCAGAAGGTTCCCCTCATTGCTCCAGAGCACAGCTAGTGTGCACATTCCATAGGCTTGCCCTGCCCGCCTGGCAGCCCCCTTCCACTCTGAGCTCTCCCGAGTCCCTTCCTCTGGCTCCAGGCTCTCTCAGTCCTTAAGCTCTGTCCTGTGGGTCTTTTCTCTGGTGATGTCATCTTGGCCTCCAGAATTCCGTTACTTCGTTTTTGGAGCCCCTTCAGTACCCAGGACCGTTTTATTAGAAGTTTTTTTTCATCCCCCTGACCCACAGATTGAAACTCCCATTTCCTGAACTTTAGAAATAGCAGTTTTTCCAAATGAATAAATGAAAAGCAGAATCAGACCTATACATACAGAGAATAAACTGATGGCTGCCAGAGGGAAGGGGTGGGGAGATGGGCAAAATGGGGGGCAAAGGGCGGAGTCATAGGCTCCCAGTCAGGGAGCAGCACAGGGAATAGGGTCAGTGGTATGGTAAGTGTTACTTGGTGACAGATGGTAGGTACATTTGTGGTGAGCATAGCACTGACCTACAGAGAAACTGAATCACTACCTTGTACACCTGAAACTAACGTAACGTTGTGTGTCAACTCTATTCAAGTAAGAAAATTAAAAAATAAAACAGCAGTTTTTGTAAATACGTGGTTTAAGTTTTAGAGGTGGCTTTGGGGAAGTGACTCAAGGGTAGGGAGGTCTGACTGGGGACAGTGGCTGGATGCACATGGGAAGAACGGAGGGGCTGCAGGTGGCAGGCGGGCTTGTGGTCTCGTCCCCTCCATCTCTCCCTGGGCTATCCCTTACCCAGCCTCAGTTTCCTCATCTGCACAACAAGGGGTTGTTTTCCCAACTCTGGCCCATGGCTATGGTTCTGGGATACTCCCGAGCTCTGGTACTCTGGGTGTTGAGAGGGGACAGGGACCGCTGCCTGAAGGCAGTCTGGGTACCAGGGGATGGCTCACGTGGGGTCGTTGGCCAAGTTCAGGAAGAGGCAGACATTCCCCATGGTACCGTTCTGCTCGAAGTCAGACTTGAAGAACCTGGCTGTCTCCATGTTCACCTGGACACACAGCAGGGAGGGCTGGAGTGTGGGGGGGTCTCTGCAGCCTAAGGGCAGGGGCCCCGGCCCCTCCCATCTCGTCTCAGTAGAGCCTATTGACTGACAGTCCCTAGGAGGACCCAGCACTTGAAAAGGCAGGGGCTGGGTTTGCACTCCCCAGGCCCCCAAAGAGAAGTTCAGATTTCTTCAGGTTATGCTCTGCTTGTTGCATCCTGACCCCTCACTTAACCAGCTGCTTCCCTGCTAAACCCCTCCTTGGGCCCCCTGAGGGCCCCGTGGTATCCCCTCCCTGAAGCCGTCTTCCCAAATTCCCTGGCTTCTCCCTCCTCCAGGCCACCCTCGGGCTCATGGGGGCTGCCATGCCCTTGGGACGCACTGGGGGACACACCGTACCTAGTCACTGAGCCCCCCTCCCCCGCGGTCCTGCTCTTGCCTCTCCCACCAGACAGGCCTGGACACTGACAGCTTCTCAGGGAGAAGGATTATGCCTCCCTCATCATATCAGGCAGAGCCAGGGTCCAAGAGAGACAAGGCTGCCTGCCCACAGCTTCCAGAATTTGCCAATCTGCCTAGTTTCTCTTACCCCCATGGCCGCAAAGACAATGGCAAAGTTGTCGTCATGATAATCCAGCACAGCCTTGGACTTCTTCACCAGCCCAGCCTGGCGGCAGATCTGGGCGGCAATCTGGGGTGGAGTGGATTAGAAGGAAGGGTGTCAGAACCAGAACCCAGAGCCCAGCCCACTGAGCACCATGGAGGATGATGGATGGAGCAACTTCCAGTCCTTCCTCCTGCCAAGGCCTTTGGTTGCGGGGGGCGGGGGGATGAGATCCTAGGCCAGAAAGATGAAAGGGCTGCCCCAGGTCCTACAGCCTTCCTCAGGGTGAAGGCTTGAAGACCTGCTTGGGGACACTGAGGAGGTCTTCTGCGGCCCTGAGCCCATGAGCTGCCAGAGGACAGCTACCAGTCTGGACAGCGGTGACCCCAGCGTGGCTGGTCCCTGCCTGTTTGATTCAGGAGACCCACCTCACTGGCCCACCAGCCCTGGCCTCTGCCCTGTGCGCTCCTCTTGGTCATGTCTGCAGGACCCTGCAGGCCTCACCTCATTGTGGGGGAGCCCGGCTGCTGAGAAGATGGGGATCTTCTGACCACGGGCAATGCTGTTCATGACATCGATGGGAGAGATGCCCGTCTGAATCATCTCCTCCGGGTAGATGCGGTCATGGGGGTTGATGGGCTGGCCTGGGAGAGGGCGATCATGGACCCATGCTCAAGGGCTCAAGTCTGTCCCTGCCCTCCCCCAACCCTGCCCCCAACTCCAGAGCAGCACTGTGGAGCAGAATTCTCTGTGATGATGAAAATGTGCTCTAACTACCCTGCCCGGTCCAGTAGCCCTAGTCACATGCGGCTGGTGGGCACATGACATGAACGTGTATTCCACTTGAATTAATTTGTATCTAATAACCATGATCCAGTGCTCCCTTGGACAGTGCTGCCTGGCCCAGCAGAAGCGGCAGGCAGGTGGGAGCTCAGGCTGAGGCCCCCGAGGCTGAGCAGGTGTCGTGCGGGGCTCCAAGGAACAGAGGGCAGCCTGGAGAGCTCCTATCTGAGGGGATGTGTATCCTTTGCTCTGCCCCTGACTTGCTGAGTTGTTTGGGGCAGCTGTGGGCCTCTGTGGGCCTCCATCTGTGGGCCTCCATCTGGTCCTCAGAACTGACAGGACTGGAGGACTCAGGATGGCCTCCCACCGGGAAGGAGCTGTGTCTACTGCTGCAAGCCACCCCAGGCGGCTCGGAGGGGCGGGGACAGGGCACTGGAAGGCGGGAGAGTGAGGGTCTTGGGGCACCCATGGAACTTTGCACCTGATGATGGCTTTGAGAGGAACAGGACATGAAGTGCCGATGGCAGTTTTTCAGGCTCTGTGGCAGATTTGGGGACAGAGAGGCCTCTGCAGTTCTTGTCGCACACGCGATCTGCGTGGTAGTCTGAGCAGCCTGCGGGTGGGCCCTGGCCCATTGCCCCTGGCCTGTGTCTGGGGCAGAACTTCCAAGGGCAAGATGGCAGAGGCGGTGGCTGGGGGTGGGGAAAGTGATCGGGGGCTGGGTCCCGAAAGCTGTCCGGAGCCTTTCCCTGGTCACTCACCATTGATATCCAGGAAGTCCTCTGCCATGACCACCGGCCCCTTGTCAATGGGCTTGCCAGAGCCGTTGAAGACCCGACCTGAAGGTGGGGGAGGCTGTTGGGGGACGCTTAGGGCCAGCCCTGGGTCTCCCTCACTGCTGCTCACCCTCCACACCACCAGCAGCTCCCACCCACCCCTCACGCCCCTCTTCCCTCAGCCCTCAGTTGCCCCCCAAGAGCTGGCTACAGGGACTGTCTCCATGGGGATCGTCCCTCCTCTCCTGGAAATCTTTACAGGTGAGGCCTTGGCCCAGGAAATGACTCTAATGGAGGGTTTTAGGGCTGGAAGGAGGAGAGGGCCAGGTGTGACAGATCTTGGGAGAAAATTGGGGGATGTGCACTCTGTTTCAGCCTAACCCCAAATAGAGGACTACCTACTGTGCCCCCAGTTGATTGAACCCGCCTTCCTCGTTTATGGAACATCTGTATGTCCGGCCCTGAGCTGGGGTTGGGGGGTCAGAGAGAGAAGACACAATCTCTGACCTCAAAGAACTCACGGGGGAGGCAGACAGGCAAAGAGGCAAGGACAATGCAGTGTGCTAAGTGTGCGGTCAGGGAAGCTGGGCTGGGAGGACAGAGGTGCACCCCCCCCCGCCTCTCCTCCCCCATCCTCACCCAGCATGTCTTCTGACACTGGAGTCCGTAGGATGTCCCCTGTGAATTCACAGGTGGTCTTCTGGGCATCGATCCCAGAGGTTCCTTCAAACACCTATGGGACAAGAGGTTAGTTACTCTAATAAGGGTCTTGCTGGGGAGAATGGGGCCTTCCATTCCAGGCTCCCTTTGTGCCCAGCTCTGGGCAAGACGCTCTTGGGAAAATAGGACGTTTCCTGCCTTCGGAGCCTATAAGATAGGAACTTTGTGGGCTCGTTCATTTATTCTGCCAGCCAACATCGCCCTGACACCACTTACCTGAACAATTGCCTTGGTCCCAGACACCTCCAGCACCTGCCCGCTTCTCTGAGTGCCATCGGGAAGGGTGAAGTTGACGATCTCAGCATACTGCGCAAACTGGCAGGAGGGGAGAGCAGCCCAGAGCAGCGGTGAGACCAGAGGTGAAGTCCCTGTCTCCCCCAACCCTCCTTGACCCATTCTCAAGCTTCTGTCTCCCCTTTTGTGACCAGGCACTAGTAGAAGTGAACTTGAGGGGCCGGAGGTGGGACATTTGGATTCTGTTTGGGAGGCTGTACACCTGGATGGGCAGGAGCACTGACTTTGGAGTTGGAAGACCAGGGTTAGACCTGAAGCTCTGATGCTTAGAAACTGTGTGACCATGTGGAAATTACTTAATGTCTCTGAGCATTACTTTCCTCATCTTTCAAATGAGAATAATAATAATACCTACTTCATAGGGCTTGTATGGGGAGAAAGTGATCTATGTGAAATCATTAGCTGGTGCCCAGGACCTGTAACAGCTCAATAAAATGTAATCATTACTATGGCTGTTTAGGTCCCATGGACAGCACAGTTGTCCCTGCCCCTGTGGAGTAATGGTGAACACACGGGCACAGTGCTCTCCTGGGCTGCCGGGTGTCCCCTCGTACCAGTGGCAGTCTTTCCCTAGCCATGGGGCTGGGATTGATTCATGTGTTGTCCTCACAGCTTCAGGAATAAAAAGAATCAGGCAATCACTTCTCTTTTGGCTATAAGCAAGTGTAGTATCTCTTCTTATCCGTTTGAAAAGAACCAGGCTAATATCAGGAATATATAAAGAACTCTTAAAACTCAACAATAAAAATACAAATACTGTAATTTTAAAAATGGGCAAAGGATCTAAATTGATATTTCTCCAAAGGAGATATTCAAAAGACCAATAAGCGCATAAGATGCTCAACATCATTCACCATTAAAGAAATGCAGATCACAACCACAATGAGATACCACGTCCCACTCATGAATATGGCTGGAGTCCGAAGGACAGATAACGAGTGTAGTTGAAGGTGTGGAGAAATCAGACCCCTCAAACACTGCTGGTGGGAACTTAAAATGGTGGGGCCACTTTGAAAAACACTCTGACGCTCTCTCAAAGGGTTAAACATAGAGACACCATATGACCCAGCAATTCCACTGGCGCAACAGAAATGAAAACATGTGACCACACAAAAACTTGCATATGAATGTATATGAATGTTCATATACAAGTAGTAGCCTTATTCATAATAGCCCCAAGGTGGAAACAACCCAAATGTCCACAAACAGTGAACGGAGAAATAAAAGATGGTATATCTATACCATGGAATATTATCAGCCTTATAAAGGAATGAAATACTGATCCATGCAAAACACGGATGAACCTTGGAAACATGCTAAGTAGGTGAAAGAAGCCAGACGCAACAGGTCACGGAGTATATGATTCTATTGATACAAAGTATCTGAAATAGTCTGATCCATAAAGACAGAAAGGTTAGAGCTTGCCGGGGGCTGGAAGGAGGGACGATTGGGAGTGACAACTAACAGGTACAAGGGGTTCTTTTGGAGGTGATAAAAATGTTCTGGAATCAAATAGTGGTGATGGCTGCACAACTCTGTGTATATACTAAAAACCACTGAACTGTGTGCTTTAAAAGAAGGAAGTTTATGATATGTAAGTTATAACTCAATTTAAAAAAGACAGTTAGACTGTCCTCTAGGACCACAGGTAGCAGGTTGGGCAGGTGGAGGTCTGCCCCAAGGGAATCCCCTAGCCCTGCAGTCTGTGCATGCTCCGGGAACCAGGGTCCCAGTTTTTCCCCACTTCCAGAAGAGGCTATGAGCTGGGCCAGGAGGGCTGGGCAGGAGAGCAGACCCTCCCCACTGACGCTGGCTTCAGCTCTTGTCAGTCCCCAGAGACCTAAGCCCTGCAACCTGCACCTTGTTCCAGGGGCGGTACTGGAAAGAATGCATTGCATCCTTCAGGTTCCCTCACTTGCTTCCCTAGTGATTGAGTTACTTCAGGGAGTAAGTGAGAATCGGAATCTAATAAAAATAAATGGTAAAAAGATGACATCCCTGCCCACGTGTTCCTCATATTCTGAGTTAAAGTACTCCTCTAAATTACTCCTTGAGCATTAGAGGGAATCAGAACTGACATGAAAAATGAAATAGAAAACAATGAGAAAGGAGAGCGCCTTGTAGAATCAATCAGGCTGTACCATGTTTTCTGACCATAATCAAAACAAGTTAGAAATCAAAAACAAAAAGATGGTTAGACAAACTTCATGTATTTGGAAATTTAAAAAACCTAATACAGAAGACCATAGAATTAGAAAATATTTAGCACCGGGCGCCTGGGTGGCTCAGTTGGTTAAGCGACTGCCTTCAGCTCAGGTCATGATCCTGGAGTCCCGGGATCGAGTCCCACACCGGGCTCCCTGCTCAGCAGGGAGTCTGCTTCTCCCTCTGACCCTCCCCCCTCTCATGCTCTCTATCTCTCATTCTCTCTCTCAAATAAATAAATAAAATCTTTAAAAAAAATATTTAGCACCAAGCAATAATGAAAACCTATGTATCGACATATATGGATGCATTTAAAATTTCTTTTTCTTTTTTTTAAATTATTTATTTATTTTAGAGAGAGAGAGAGCTAGAGCAGGGGGAGGGGCAGAGGGAGAGGGAGAGAGACTCTCAAGCAGACTTCACACTGAGTGTAGAGCCCGATGTGGGGCTTGATCTCACGACCCTGAGATCACGACCTGAGATGAAAAGTCAGATGCTTAACCGCCTGTGCCACCAGGCGCCCCACATTTAAGCTTTAAATGCTTATATTAGAAAAGAAAAAAACTGAGTAAGTTTAAGAGTATGCAACATGAAAAGTTAGAAAAAAGAACAGCAATAAAACCCCCAATAAAGTAGGATAGGGGGATGGGGGGAAGTAGGTGATGGGAATTAAGGAGGGCACTTGTGATGAGCACCGGGTGGCGTATGGAACTATATTGTACGCCTGAAACTAATACAGTGCTATATGTTAACTAACCGGAATTAAAAGAAAAACTTTTTTTAAAAGTCCAATATAGTAGAAGAAATAATAAAAGGTCAGAAATCATTAACACGGAGAATAAACATATAACAAAGAAGATTAAGCCAAATTGGTTCTTTGAAAAGCCTAATAAAATAGACTGATAAAATAAAACTGATTAAGAGCAAAGACATAAATAATTGTTGGAGTAAAAAAGTCAAAACTAGCTACACTAATATTAAAAAGTAATAAAAAGGAATTATGAACAATTGTATGCAATATAGTTCAGAACTTAGATGAAATGAATAAAGTCTTAGAAGAATACAACTCAAACCAAAACCAATCAAAAACCAAATAGAAAGCCGGAATAGTCCTACAAACTTTAAGATATTACATAAATAGTGTAAAATCTTTCCATAAAGAAAACACCAGTCCCAGATAGTCTTACAAGTGAGTTCTGACAATCAAAGAACAAATAATTTGAAAATACTTGAGCTTTTCAAAAGACTGATGGAAAGGGATGTCTTTAATTAATTTTATGAGGCAAGGATAACCTTGATACAAAATAAGATAATGAAGGGAAAATCATAGGCAATCTCGCTTATGAATATATATGCAAAAGACCTATGTAAAATACTAACAAACCAAATCCAGCAAAGTATAAAAAAGGTCGAGTTACAAACCAAATGATAAAAGAAAAAAGTCAAAAAACAAAAAATAAAAAAGACACACATACACAAATGAAAATTAAAAAGACCCGGTAATTCAAGGTTAGTCTAATAATAGAAATCTGATAATGTAATTAATTTACCTTATTAATGAATTGCAGGATAAAAAAAACTTTGTTCATCTTAACATTCCAGAAAAAGGTTTAAAAAACTATCCATGATTAAAACAAAAACTTTGATGATTAAAGAATCATGATATCCCTGGTTAAAGAACAAAACTACTCTTTGAAAACAGAATAAAAGGGAAATTCCTTAACTCCAAAAAGCATCCTCAGAAAAACTGCGAAAACATACTCTGATGTAAAACAATCCCTTTAAAATTAGGAGCAAAACAGGGGCACCTGGGTGGCTCAATTGGTTAAGCATCTGCCTTCGGCTCAGGTCATGATCTCAGGGTCCTGGGATGGAGCCCCGCATCGGGCTCCCTGCTCAGCGGGGAGTCTGCTTCTCCCTCTCCCTCTGCCTCTCTCCCCCCACTCGTGTTCTCTCTTGCTCACTCTGCTCTCTTTCTCTCTCTGTTAAATTGTTAAAAATTTGTTAAAAATTGTTAAAAAATTAGGAGCAAAACAACAATGCCTGCTATCATCCTTCTATTCAGCATTACATTGGAAGAACCAGCCAACGTAATATGATGAACAGAAAGAAACATTAGAAGGCAAGGAAACTATAAAATAGAAAACTTCCCAAACCTCAAATGTAGTAAAGATAGGACCCTCCAGGGCACCTGAGGGGCTCAGTCGGTTAAGTGGCTGTCTTTGGCTCAGGTCACGATCTCAGGGTGCTGGGATTGAGCCCCACATTGGGCTTCCTGCTCAGCGAAGAGCCTGCTTCTCCCTCTCCCTCTACCTGCCACTCCCCTTGCTTGTGCTCTCACACTCTCTCTGTCAAATAAATAAAGAAAATCTTCAAAAAAAAAAAAAGATAGGACCCTCCAAAAAACGTAGACCAATTTCTCTTATAAATGTAGACACAGAAATTATAAATAAACTATTAGCCAGTCCAATCAGTGTATTAAGTAAACAAACAGATATGACCAAATAGGATTCATCAAAAGAATGCAAGCCTAGATAAATCAACCTCTGGGAATTTGTCAACATTTCACAATATAATTTGTAATAATAGGGAGTTTTTTTGTAAACACAAATTAAAAGAGAAACCCTACAGGATTATGTAAATAGAAACCCAAAAGGCTTTTGAGAACATTCAGCAGTGTTTCTAATACAATCCTATGTAAGACGGGAATGGAAGGCAACGACTTGAACACTATTTACCAAACCAACATCAACAAGCTTCCCAATGGTGAAACGCTAAACCCACTTTTATTCTAAGAAAATCAGTAACGCACAGAG